GAACTGCGGCTCATCTGAGGACACCTTGTGATCCTCCTGGGACACCAGAGGAGAGGCCCATAGGAAGTGCTACGAGGCCAGCCCCACAGGCCTCCCTGTGTACGTGGGAGGCTGTCAGGAGGCGGTTTTGCGTCACCTCCGGGTTCTGGTGAGCTCCGAGGCCTTCTGTGCCGCCCTCTTTGGAACAGAGCTACGGAATATAAAGTGCACAGCTGCATCGAGAAGGGCTCCTCAGCTGCGGGTATCCCATGACGCGCCTTGCAGTCATCGGCCCCTGTGATTTCAGGGCCGTCCTTTATGGTGTGTGGGACAAGGGTCACAGGAGCTGGCACCTTTGGCTTGTTCTCCTTTTCACTGTCTATGTTTATTAAAACTGCCTAAATCTAAGTGTGGCTTGATGTATCTTTCCCAGGAGAACCTGCCAATCTTGGCCTTGCCTTGCCCTGCATATGAACTTGCCAAGTGGCACCATGAACTCTACCACCAGCATCTCCTTGATGCCACCAGGGCACTCCTTTCTGGAGGAGGCCTTAAGCGCCCTCACTCATGCCTCCATGAGCCTCTGGGCTTCTCTGTACGGACGCCGATTGCCATGGGTTTCTGGTGCAAAAAATTGCCTTCTGCAACTCCCGGATGCACGCCAGCAGAAAAAGGATTGCTGGCCATGTGTCGGGCCTTACTGCAGACTGAGCTGGTTCTGAAAGGGTGGCATTTTGAACAGTTGCTCCTTATGCCCTGGGTCGTGGAGGCAACACCCTGAGGGTTCAGCTTGGTCATAGGAGGCAGCACCCTGCGGGTTTATCCCCTTGCTAGGTAAAAATTACATCTCTAGGATAAAGCCAGACCTGGGCCATCTGGTGTATCCCCTTTGCAGGAGGCAGGAGCTCCCTCTGTCCCCAGCCCTTTGCCTAAGGCTATAATGCCAGAGGAGACCACCTCCTTCCCAGAGTCATTAGCCACTTTGGGAGCCCCTAAGAACAACTGAGCAAACAAGAAAGGGAGTTCCTACACTTTGCAGACAGCGGCACCATCGGTGCAAGTGATGGAGCTGTGGGGGGCAGCTGCTTGCCAGCCTCTTTGGGGACCTCCCTGACCAAAGATAGGACCCAAGGGTCAGCTCAAGTAGCTGAACCATAGGCTATGGTGAGCACTAGAGGGTGTCCTGACCAACCATCGACTTGTCTGAACTTTTCCTCACCTGGGCAGTGCTAGTAAACAAAATGTATTGCCTCGCTAATATGCAATACAAATACACAATACAAAACGATCCACATTTTGACCTGTGCTGAATTTTCCAAATTCAACAACCAGCCTAAGACCTTATCTTCTCACAAAATGCAAAATGCTTGTCTCTCAAACAAGGCATTCAGAAAAATTTCCACATTTGCAATCTTGCTCCCATCCTGTAAGGGAGAGAGACAAGACCGAGGCCAAAGGTGGATACCATTGAACATGGCCCTCTAATGATAACTTCCAAGAGGGCTCACCTTTGCTCTTTGTATCCTACTGATGCTGCAAATTGACTGAAATATGAAATACACAATTAACCATCCTAATGATAATTTCTCACAGGACAGTTAAGAATTAAAATTAGTACATTGAGTAGGAGATGCTCCCAAATCCTCCTGAGTACACGGATAAATCCCAACAATACCTTTTCCAAGTCGAGTCCTTCCAGGCCCTCAGATCTTTCTCTAAACTCATGCCATTGCACAAAATCGCCCCTGCTTGGTTTTGTACTCTGAGTACAGTGGAAATCTTTTCTGTCCCTTTCCCTAAAAGTGTTGCTTTTCTGTAGTCCCAGATTTCTGCACAGCCTTAAAACCAACTCCCTCCCTGGTGTTGGCTCGGCCCTGCATGGCCATTAAAAGTCAGCACAGAGGGCCGGCCCGTGGCTCACTCGGGAGAGTGCGGTGCTGACAACACCAAGGCCCTGGGTTCGGATCCCATATAGGGATGGCTGGTTGGCTCACTGGCTGAGCGTGGTGCTGACAACAGCAAGTCAAGGGTTAAGATCCCCTTACCGGTCATCTTTTAAAACAAACAAAAAGTACCCCCGAGTCCTGCCCGTGGCTCACTCGGGAGAGTGTGGTGCTGATAACACCAAGGCCGCGGGTTCGGATCCCTTAAAACAAACAAAAAGTACCCCCGAGGCCTGCCCGTGGCTCACTCGGGAGAGTGTGGTGCTGATAACACCAAGGCCACGGTTCAGATCCCATATAGGGATGGCTGGTTGGCTCACTGGCTGAGCGTGGTGCTGACAACACCAAGCCAAGGGTTGAGATCCCCTTACCGGTCATCTTTTAAAAAAATATATGTATATCCATTTTGTTGGGTGTGTTAACAGAAAATTAGTGCTAAGTCCATGAAATGTGAGATTTTCATTCAAAGAGCTAAATCATATCCAAAACCTAGCCAGAAAAAGCCAACATCACTGCTTCCCAGATTCCCTCTTTATTCCAAGATCTGGGCTTCTAATTCCCCCTAATACAGGTCACCCAGAGCCCTCCATCTGCCTGACCCCCACCAACACCGCCACGGGACTCCCAGGCAGTTGGCATCGCAGTTGCCATTGACATGAGAGCTCATAGAGACCAGGGGAAACCATCGTATGAAAAGGAAAACTGCCCACGGAGGCCACAGATGAAAAGTTCACATCCACTCAGTTTTTGACAGCAGATGCTTTTGTGCCGAGAAAAACCCATTCTCATTAGATGTATGGGGGATTTTGTTCATCTCAAATGTCACTCATCTGAAAATATGCCATGGCCACCGAACAGTTCTATGTCTAAAATATATATTAAACCCAAGAGACTTTAAGACCTTGGAGAAATCTCAATTTGGCTTATTTTCTCTCCTTCCCACCCCCCACCCCAAGAATCTTAAGTTAAAGAGGATCCTCTCCCTGAAACTACTGGGAAACCTACTGGCTGAATTTACACAGGTTCACCGTCTGAAGGCTGACATTTGAAACTTTCTCCAAGCACCTACTAACCAGATAGAGAATGAGCAGTTACAGAGCTGCCTTTGGAGAAATGATGGCGATAGGGGCAGAGGACACAGCACAGTCTGATCACCCACTCAGGGATTCCGAACCTCCACCCAGTCACCTTATCCAGGGATGACAGAGACAGGGCAGATGACACCAATGCCAATGTCATAACTTATGATGAGACAGGGAGCTGGTAAGGGACTGGGCGTTCTCACCTGATGGCTGTCACCCCTGCCCAAAAATAGCCAGCCTGCTGGGCCTTGCTGCCAGGACCTGTCACACTCCTGTCCTGTGTGTGTTGCCTGTCATATGTGTGGCATGTGATGTGTTGCCTGTGTGTGTTGCTTGTCATGTGTGTGGTGTATATGTTGCTTAAGGTATCGTGTGGTGCCTGTCACAGGTGGTGCCTGTGTGTAGTCTATCACTTGTGAGTGTGTAGGTCTCATCCACATGCCAGGAGTAGCCAGCTGGCATGTGAAGTCTCTCACGGGGACACACCCTGGTGAGAGGAGCACGGCCTGTGGTCTACTCCAAGTGGCTACTCCGTGCACCTCGGCCACCTTCAGGTCTGCTCCAGAGTCTGTCCATTAGCATAACAGATGTTAGAAACAACTTTGAACTATGACAAACTGTAGACTCACTGGCCAGGCACCCCCTCCCCATCCTTGCCTGGCACGCCCAGGGCCACACCTTCCAAGTAGCACCCCGCCCTGCTTTCCCATGCTCATTATGTGTCTGGTTGCCCAACTCCGTCTGGATTTTAGCTGGACTCCTGCATGAGGATGTTGCCACATCTGCCTCCAGAGAACTTTCCCTTCTGTGACAGATGCTGATGTGGAACTGGAAGGACAGAGCTCTGGCTTCACTGAGCCTACTGGTCACACTGTGTGACCACTTATGGGTCTGCTTGCCATTGAAAGTCTGCATGTTGGGGCTGGCCCGTGGCTCACTTGGGAGAGTGCGGTGCTGATAACACCAAGGCCACGGGTTCGGATCCCTATATAGGGATGGCCGGTTGGCTCACTTGGGAGAGGGTGGCGCTGACAACACCAAGACAACGGTTAAAATCCCCTTACCTGTCATCTTAAAAAAAAAAAAAAAAAAAAAGAGTGCATGTTATATGTATTTTAGCAATAAAGACTTCTAGTACTCCATAGGAAAAAAAAAAAGAGAGAGAAAAAGTCTGTGTGTGAGGCAGGCAGCTTTCCCTCCAAAATTTAGGAAACTTGAATTCTGCTGCACGCTTGTGAATTTCCCACAGGGCCTGGTCCCACAGGGGACCTTGGAGCCACCATGCTAAGGGGCCTGATATGTCTTTTTTTTTTTTTTTTTAACAAGATACACCTTACAGAGAAGGATCCTGTGGCTCGGATGGGTCAACTACTTGCCCGAGGCCACACAGCCTGGCTCTAGGACCCACTAGAGGCTGCTAGAACCAAACTCAAGGAGACAGGGGAACCATGTGGAGAACCTAGAATCTAAGAGACCCGATGCTGAAATGGGTGTGGAGCTGAGGTAGACATGGGTCTGGCTGCCAGGGGCTGTAGGCAGTGGGGAAGGGTGTGGCCCCAGCCGAAGACCTGTTGGGGTACAGGTGGGGGCTCCCTGACCCTCCCACCCAACCGTGCAGAACTCTTCACAGTGGGGTCTCAGTCTCCTCGGGCATACAGGGCATGGAGGAAAGGGCCCCCTCAGGCCTCAGAGAGTGTCTGCGTTTCTCATGGGCATCATGGGTGAGGCTACAGCCTGGAAAGGGCAGTGACCAGGTTTACCTGGGTCAAACAACCATTCCCCAGGTCCGTACTGGGCACAGGGTGACCCCAACGTGGCTCAGAAGTGGATCCTGTCTCCAAAGGTGTTCCTTGAAGAGCTGTGGGCAGAAACGCCTTAATAGACAAAAACAGATGGGGTGGGCTGCGGAAGCTTGCAGGCTACCTGGAGGGGGCGGCAGGCAAGGGCCTCTGGGGTCTGTCCCGTCCTCTAGACCCAGCAGACACTGGCAACCCCATCACTTGGCAAGCCCTCCTCCGCTGAGGTCCCTGCCAAGCCACCCAGCGGCTTTTTCCTCCCAGAAGGACGGGATGGGATTCGCAAAATCAGGCAGGCAGGGCGAAAGGGCCTCCAGAAGGGAGGCCACCTGGTGGGCGGGGCCAAGGGGACCCTGTCCCCCAGAAGCGGTCCGTGCCCTCCATACACCCCACCATTCCGAGGGGTTAAAGCCTCTCATGACAGTGCCCCAGGGTCAGGGTCAGCCACACACCCCAGGCACACACTCCGTCCACCCCACGGCCTGAGACTCGTCAGGACAATACAAAATTTATTGCTCATTTTCTATAAAAAGCGGGGCGTCTTGGCTGACCCTGGGGATAGGAAAGCGGAGCGCGCGTCCGGGGCTGTAGCCAGAGCTGGGGCGGGGGCTGCGGTTTGCAGAAGAGCCTGTCCCTGCCGTGCAGAGGGGGTCCGGACGGCGGCCCCTCCAGGTTTCGGCCGTGCTCTCGAACCCTAGGGCCTCGCCTGGGGCTGCGGCAATTCCAGGTGGCCCGGGCTCTGGGAGGGGCGTTCCTTAACATGGGGGAGGGGACGGAGGGTCCTTCCTGGAGACGGCGCCGGACTCAGAAGGGGCTCCCAGCCTGAGTCCGCTGAGCGGGGAGGCTGAGGCCGGGGCCCGTCACT